AAAAACAAAAAAAAAAGAAAGAAAGAAAAAAGAAAAACCAAACAGTAAAACATACACCCACACTTAGAAAAGGAAAATCACAGCTAACAAAAACCTATTTCTATCCTGGAGATGACTGTCATTTCCTGGGAGGTCAAGTCTCTGAGTAGAGGGCTTGCGCAAATGAGCAATGGAAACAGTTGGAAGTTGTGGGGTGAGACAGGAGTGTTGGCATCTCAAACCCTCATTTCTTCCCACAAGGTTGGCTTAGCAGTGATTCCAGAGTTCTCATTTCCTGATCATGGTCATGCCATGCTGACAACGTTCTCAGTCAGGCTTCTCAAAGTTGAAGAGGGATCCGAACCTTTCTGGGAAGCCTCATGCCTGGTAAATGTTGGCTGCCAAGGCACAAAGCCAAGTGCAATCATGTAAGCTCAACTGAAGGACCCAGCAAAATTAGTGAAAGGCTTGTGAACTGCCTTGAATAAATACAGGTAACAACTTCTTCAAACAAGCTCTTTTCTTAGTTTCAATCCTGCACAACCTCCAAGATACTATTCCTCATCTCCACAATTCTTGATAAATAAAGGTATTAAAACGGTATTATCATCTGCACAACGGCATGAGCATTTCGCTTGATGAAAGACAAGCTGCAAACCAACCTGAAAATTCCTGTCATTTTGCGAGGACAGTGGGAAAACTAAGCCAATTAGAAAGCAAATTGAAAGATTCCCTACCTGGCCCTTCATGGACATCCCTAATGCAACCCTTAATATAAGCAACATTCCCTTCGAAAATCATACTATATACTACGGACATATCTTCTAAGAGGTGCTGAGTGGGTGCTGCGTGCTGTGGATGGAAAGGATGGAGCGCCAACTCTCTAAATGCAAGTCACTGGGGAAAAAAGAGCCGCCCATGTCAACCCCCACGCCAGCGTTAATTCAAACGTCCAGAATGTGAAAGGGCAAACCAACGCAGGGGTTCTGCTTCCAGAGCCAGCAAGTACCCTGGGACGGAGAAGAGAAGGCGTTCACACACCCTGGGCAAAAGAACCTAGTGAGAAAAAGTAGAATCACAGCAAAGTCCGGGGTCTGGGAGCCTCCTCCACCAAAGAGCAGAGAGGGCGAGAAAGAGACACCGCAAGGTGAAGCGACTCAGGATCCTCGAAGGCAGTGCACGCCAGGGCGCCATCCTCGCCCTCCCCTCCCAGGGTAGGGGGTCGGGGGAAGCTGGGAACGAGCTGGCGACAAGGTGGCGCGGGGCTCAAAGCTACCTTGAGAGGAGAGTCGCCCGCTCCCGCTGAGGTCTCCTCCGTGCTGAGCAGGGCGTGTGGGGCGGCCGCAGGCCTGGACGGCCCGGACCCACCCGGCTAGCCCGCGCGGCCCTCACCTTGTCCGAGTCCAAGTCGGGGTCGGCCTGGCACAAGCGGTACAGGAAGGATTTCGGGTCCCGACACAGCGTCTGCCGAGTGGTGAGGAAGTAGGTGCCGCCGACGTTGAGCCGGACCCACTTGGACACGCTGCCGGGGCGCTGGGCCAGGGCGCCTAGCCCCGCGCTGCAGCGGCGGCACAGGCCGCCCCCCAGCCCCGCCCCGAGGCCGCCCCGGGCCGGCGGCAGGAGCTCGCAATGATTCTCCGCCATGATCCCAGCAAGCCCCGCCACAGCTCCCCTGCACCGGAAGCGTCCGGCTTTTAATACCGTCCTCCGAGTTCTGTCCCGCCCACAGGTCCGCCCTCGTAAAGTGCCCGCCCCGGCGTCACGCGGCAGGCGGAAGTTCCGGTCCGGAAAAGTGGCCGGCTGTGCCCGCTTCCGGCGGGAGCGGAACACGGCGTGGCCGGAGCGCCAACGCTGGTGGGCGGTGGCGGAGACCTGCCTCGGGCCCCCACACCAACGATGCGCGGGCGCCTGTCCCAGACCCCGACCTTCACCCCTGACCCCGACCCTAGTCCATGCCCTGGTTAAAGGAAGAGCCATGCCAGCAAACGTCTACACTCTACATGCTTTTTATTACAAGACTACCGAGCATACGAGGAAAATTCATCATCTGATAACTACACCTAATGCACAAATATTTGGGAAAAAAAAAAAAAAGAATAAACAGATTCATTAAATTATATGATTAAATCATTGACCAAATAGAAAATTTATATAATAAAGCCAGAAAAAAAGTTGTAAAATATAGTTTACAATAATTATTCACATTCAAGGCTGTACATCAATACATACAACAACGTGGCCCCGAACATGAATTCAATCCAAATAATTCATATATTAGAATTTAAATAACACAGACTGAACTAGAGGCCAACAATAGCCAGCAAATAACCTTATATAAGAATAAAAATACAAAAGTGTATATCCTAATATCATTGCATTATTTGTTTTCATAAGTTCTCTTCATTTTTGCTTTGCCTGTACATCACAGTTACAGCTACAGACCAGGTAGAGAATATTACGCATGTTCTAACCGACTGCCACCCACCTGAAAGACCTACTATTCATTTACCCTATTTTATGTTAAGGAATGGCTACAGCAGCTCTAAATACTGTAACAATTTAGTTTTGCCCATGTCCAACTTGTAGTCATAATACAGGCTTTTACCGGCAAAATGACCTCTATTCATAGTCATTCTGCCAGATGGTTAGGCTACGTGGGTTACACAGCTAAAAAAAAGGTCTGCCTTTTGTAAAAAGTTCTCTGTACATAGTTTGGTGTTTCTTCATATTGAAGAAATGAGTTATGGGGAAAATTCAGGTACACACGTAGGCTCGTTCAGTTGCTCACCACAGCAATCTCAACAGATAAAAGTGCTCTTTGTTGGAAACAGCTTCCTCCTCAGACCGGTTCTCCACAGGCAGCCTTGTCTACAACCCTGCAATCTTGGGCCAGAAGTAGTGGCCCCTCCCACATGTGCTGCCTAAGAAGGGACCCCACCCAGTGAGTCAACAGAGGTTCAAGTCAGGTTTGAAAATAACTGGGGAAAGGCGTATGACAACTTCCAGAACATAGTACCTTCACCGTATTCTCAAAGCAGCTGCGATCTCTGAAGTCTCAGAGTGAGCACCCCGGGTCTGTGGACCAGCCAGGCGAGGGTCCTCAGGGCTTCAGAGGAGGGCAAGAAACCAAATTGTGTGCAATTTGGCCATAATCTCTGGTAGAGTGAAGCAGCACTGAACATGGCGCCTAGAAAAATCTGCTGCATGTTCCCCCTCAGAATCAATGGACCACAACTAAAGTGGAGAAACTAAAATCTGCAACCAAATTTGGGTGGTCTGGACTCGACGCCAGCTAGGCAATCTGCAACACGTGGGCAGGGAGTGGGGCGGAGGAGGCCTGAAATCTACACCAGCTGGGACAACCACGCCCTGCCGTGAAAAAGCCAGCCTGGCTGCTGGGCTCTTCTGAACCACTAAGACCTTCCAATGTGGAGTGGTGCGGGGAGACAAATACACTCTTATAAACCCAATCAGCTACATGGTTTTTTCCAAGTAGAGGCTTTGCTCTGCTACCGATTCCAAATGGCCTAATGTACTTTCTGAGTCTATAAACTTAATTACAAATCGCTCACTAAGCACGTGGCAAGGTCAGTTCAACACTTGTTATCTCTGCTGACTGTGCAGATGCAAATTCAGTACCATTGTGGACACAAAGTACAAGATTCCGAAAATATCACCAAGCACTTGAAAGCCACAGCAGCACGGATGGAGGAGAGCTAACATGCAGGCGGAGCCAGGATCTCGCAACGCAAGAGAGGAAACCGGCTCCTGGAAAAAATCTGCCACAAATGGACTGCAGTAATGACATTATCTTAGCAATTAAAAAAGAGCGGTCTCATTCAAACATTCTTTGGAACACGGCTTATCAGAAACTGATTTGTTCAGAATCTGCAGGACACAACTAAGGTGGTTTTGCTACTGGAACTCTGAGCATCTAAACATCAGTTTGAGAGAGAGAAGTATCTTTAAAATGAACAAACTCTTTGACCTCAAAATACCACTTCTAGGCATCTAAGGGGAAAACGAAATCGGTAAAAAAAATCAAAAGATTTGAAGACATTCATCACAGCATTATTTAAATAATGGAAAAATCAGAAACCATCTAAATATTTTAGAGTAGGGAAATGGTCAGATAAATTACAGTAAAATGGACAATGACTAAACCCTACAATTGTTAAAAACGTGTCTCTGGGAAACTCATGACACGGGAAAATGCTTAAGATAAAATCAAGTGAGAAGACAATGCAAACGGTGTGTGTCGAATGTCCCCAGTATAGTTTAAAAGTGAACAAATGGTGGGGCAGGATATAGGCCAAAATGCTCACAGTGGTCTTCTCTGGGTGGCGGGCCTACAGCTAATCTTGTCAGAGACAAATGTTTTGAGTCACTTAGAGCCCTCTGCTGGTGCCTGGGGGTCTGTGCCATGGGACAGTCTCCACAATTCCTCTGGGCAAGGGCCACAAATTCCACAGTCTGTCCCAAGAAGGCTGGAGTAGGTGGAGTCCCCAGCAGCTGTGGCATAACCAGCCATCTCTCTCAAAACGAATTGTTAACAAGCCTTCCACAAGTTAAGGTTCCACATGGTAGCCGTGGTGCAGAGCCATTTACTAGGGTGGAGAGGCTCTTCTCTAGCTGGGGCCTAACAGAGGGGAGAAAAGAGTCCCACAGAAGCCAGCCCCAGTCTGTCCCCAGAGAAAGGCAAGGCACCTAGACCACCTAGGCCGGCAGCAACCACAGCCTCCCTCCCCTCTGTGCCAAGAAGCCACACAGGGTTTGATCCTGACATTCCACCTATTTCCCACATGTGAGGAGATGCATGGCCCAGGTCTATTGTAGCAGGTGCCATCTTCCTCACCTTGGATAAACCCACCACTGTAATTCCACGTAAGCACAGGCGATCCCCCACGTTCCACCGTAGAATGCAAGGCACCTGTGTGCCAGATGATGGCTCTAAGAATGTGCTAGATAAAACTGGAGTTGACAGGAACAAGCACAGGGTAAGGAAAGAAAACACACGGGCCTTTAAAAAGGTAAGAAAAAGGGGCTGGCTGAGGAGAAGGGTGACCCACAAGAAGGGCTTGGCTGTCACTAGCTCAGGCAACGGCCATCATTTGAGCTGTCAGGTGCCAGCTCTGGCTCTGAGCCCCTAGTTCTGAGCTTTGGAGGTTAAGACCGAGCTTGTCACTGACGCCCAGGAGGTGGTGGTTCTATGCAGAGGAAGAACGCACAGAAGAGTCTCCCCAAGCAGCCCAGCCAAGTGCGCCAATCAAAGCCTCGTCCCAGCTCTGCTTGCTTCCCTATAACCAGACGGCCTGAAAGCCGTCTTTTCTGTGCCTGCATGTGCAATTAGGAGGGTTAGGAAGCCACTCTCTTACATGCAGACATAGGATGTTCTGAAATGGGTAAAACAGCTGATAAGGAGGAGTAAGCCTGAACAGAAATTCCTGAAAGGGCCGAGAGAGACTTCCCAACACAGGCAAGCCTTTCCAAAAGCCAAGAGAGAGGACTCCGACTCCAGCCACAGGCCCAGGGCAACGTGCTGGGCCCCAGAGCATCCTGCTCCCTTGGGCACCCCAGGGCAGGTGCGGCCCAGGACACTCCAGCTCACAGTCACAGACTCACATGCAGCTCTTGCACAGCAGCCACCAAGGCCCAGGCAGAAACCGCAGGCAAGGACTCGGGAACATCTCTGCCCCTCCGAGGCCCCCATCTGCACTTGCCTAGCTACAAAGAGCCATTCTTGTCATTAGCAGTGTCAAAAGGACACCTTCCCTCTCAATTTGGACCCGGCCTGGCACACAGGGTCACTGATGAGTCATCTGTAACTTGGGGGTAGGGGCCAGGGAGGGTGGATACAGAGCCAGAGGCACATCTGTGGACAGCAATGTCTGCCTCTCCCGCATGGGACTGAGGGCTGCCCTCCAGGGACAACCTGGGCAGAGAGAGAAGGGTCATGCCCTGCCAGGCCACAAGGAGCTCTCTCTGCCTGGGAAGTAGCAACGGAAAGGACAAATGCATCTGGCCTCTCTGTGCTATAGAGCAGGGCAAGGCCACCAAAGCATCAAAGGGCAACAGCCCCAAAACCAGCAGAGGAAACGAGACCAGCTGTGGCTTAAGTGCGCTGTTCTTGCTTCCTGTGCAACGGTAATGGGGAAAGTCCACTCTTCATGGGACGAGATGAGCCGGCAGCATGAGACGGCTGAGATTTTCAATAGAGATGTAGAAACTCTGAGTTCGCTCTGAGAAATGTTTAACCACAACACAAAAGGGGTGTGTGTGATGCTGGCGCCTGCACTCCCCAGTGCTGTCCTCAGGAAACGGAAGCACCCCGGGACTGCTGATGCCAGGGTTCTCTCAGACCCTACTTCACCAACTGGGGTGGCCTGCATATTTAAACCTTTTAGGAGGCCCTTAGGCCTCTCTCCTCCACACAGAGGTCGGCAGGCCCTCTCTGCTCTGGCTGGATTCTCCAAGGCACCTCCTGGCCCCACCCAAGGCTTGGAGCAGGACTCTCTCTCATGCGATAACCTGGCTGGGTGCTGACTGGGTTCACCTCTGACGGCACAGTTTCCAGCCTGCACTTGGCTTCCAGCTCTTAGAGACCAACACTGCTCAGTAGGACAAGGGAGCCAGGGCCCTTGGACAGCACCCTCCACTCAGCAGCCTGCTCCTGTGCCACTCCATCCTCTCCCGCTCCTCACCACGAGTCTGCCTGCCAACACACAGCAGAGGCCACGAAAGCCTGCCACCAGAGCCACCACAGGGACATGCAACGGGCCCAGCCACGCCTAAGGGCCATACACGGGGAGACGCAAGAAAGGGAGCACATGACAGAAGCACAGAGCCTCCCCCTACAGAGAGGCGTGGCCACCCAGCAGGGCTGCAGAGGCTCCCTCCCTGGTGAAGAGTTCTGGGACCACAGCGTGAGGGGCGCAAAGAGCCAAATATACCCGGTCCCCTCGGCCACAGCAGGACCAGTGCATGGTTGGGGCAGGGCGGGCGCATGGTTTGGACTGATGCTAGGAGAAGCTGGTGACACCAGATTTGTCCACTAGTCTGGGCAGGACTGGGCTGACGTGCATGGAGCTGGGTCCCCAGGGCAACGAGAGCACGCAGAGGCCTCCACGGAGCACAGAGAGCAAGCAAAGCGACCCTGAATTCCTTTGTGTTATTGGTTTTGTTCCTTGTGTGGTTAGGTGTTTTTTTTCTTCTTTTCTTTTAAATAAAAATGCTGCAAGGTTTCCGCCTCTGCGTTCCCCTTGTGATGGCTGGCAGGTGGTCTGGAAGCGTCCGGGTGGCGGCCAAGCCGCGCTTGGGCAGGTGTCCTGGCAGCGAAGGGCAGCCCGGCCGCAGGCCACGTCACTGAACCGCGGCATCCGGGTGGCTCTGGTATCGCTGCCTCCAAACCTCCTGGATCTTCCTGCACCACTTGTGTGCATTCCCACTGGGGTCCATCAGATAATACGTCCTGTTAGGCTGCAAAGACAGAAGCCGTTGAGTGTTCCTGAGGAAGTCCCTCCAAAACCCCCACCCCAACCAGGTAAGCTGCCTACTACCAGTCATTCCAAATCCTGGAAGCACATGGGCATGCTGGTTCTTCATTCCACACAGGCAGAAAGCAAATATGTAGGCAGATGACCCACCTGCTAGTCACCACCAAACTCAAAAACAAGCACAGGATGTCTCCTGGCCCCTCGGGACTGAGCTGCTAGTGTGGGTGTCTGGGATGTCGGAAAGGGCAAGGCAGCTGCCCGGATCCCCGCTGCTCCCTCTGGCCAAGGCCCATGGCTTTGTCCCACATGGTGCAAAGCCCTCCCACTACCCTGAACACAGGAATCCTTGGGAACAGACCTACCGTGTGGACAAAGAAAGTTTTAAAATTCTTGGCTTCTGGTCGAAGTTCTTGTGACCAAGGAATTTCACCTTTCAGGACTTTGTTGACAGGATCCACGTAATATAAATGCGGTCCTTCTGTGAGCAACAACTGTCGTCTTCGTGCAAATAAACCCTGATTCCAAAACAAACAAAAAACACACACACACAAAAAAAACAGGCCATGCTTATCTGGGCTCAGAGCCAGTGCTGAGAGCATCTCCCGCAGCCTTGAGGGCTGAGCGGCCCCTCAGGGCTGCTCAAGGCACAGGGCCATGGCCACCACCGGTTCACCCACCCGTGCACTCACCCGAGGGCAGCGCACTTCCTGCCCCACCCGGCCCAGTTTCTAAGGTCACAGGCACTGCAGCATAGGTCTCTGCTGCTGAGCTAGCATGGACAGCCCATCCAAGTCAGGCCCGTGGCTCCCCTAGAAACTCTGCTCTGCCTGGGACAGGAGCCTGCTCTCGGTTGCCAGCCTCCACCGAGCTACACCTAGATCCTTGCCTGTGGAGGATACATGGCCAGGAACGGAGGCCAGAAGCCTGCGCTTGGAAGGGGCCCTAAGTGAGCACATGGAGTCCTGTATTTTCTAACCAAGGGTTAAAGCTAACAGTTACTGGTTTGTGTTCTGTCTGATCATACTAGAATTCCAGATCTGATGCATCCTACTATAGAAATAATATGATTTACATTTGAAAAAGGTACAAGATAACCAAATAAATATCTGAGCACATCCACACACCTGCCTGGCTCCAAACAGGAGCAACACTTGTAAGTGCTGAATCCATTTAATCCATAAAATGAACAATCCTTAAATTTTTATTTTATTTATTTATTGATTTATCTATCTATCTATCTATCTATCTATCTTTTCTTAACTCGGCAAACAGGATGGAAACTCATGTTTTTAAAACACTTCTAATGAAATATTAGACCACTGGCTAGGATATCAGACATGGCCTCTTCGACTTGATGGAAACCTCGAAATGGGCAGCCCCAGGATCCCGGGTGTGTGTGAGGCTGCTTCTGCTCTGCCCTAACTGGCCACGTGTGTGGCTCCACATGGCTACTCTCAAGGGGCGTAAGCCTTCCCGAGCTATGAGATCTAGAGATGATCTTTGAAAATCAAGAGAGGGTGAAGGATTCCACGCCACCACACTGCCCTTCTGAGCTGGAGTTGGGGAAGATGCAGGCGTGTGTGGGGAACAGCAGGACCACTGATCACTCACCTTCCGCTTATCCACTGGGCCCATCTTTAGTATTAAATTATTTTCTACAAATTGGTGCCTGTGAAAAGAAACAAGAAAGAGAGGCTCCTGTGAGAATCACAAACAGAAATCTCCATGCTCCTCCCACCACATGAACTCCCTATGCCCTTGGCCTGCCCCTCAGAGCCAGCATCACTTCAGGACAAGCAGAGAACTCCACATGTAACCCAGCACACACACCACTGCCGTGCAGAGCCTTAATCTGTATTTGCTTGCATATACAGAGTATATTACAGATGGAGCTTGCAGATACCAGAAACAGTACCTGCTGTCCCCTCACTGCCAGTGGCACCCACATGGCAGGGGAAAGGTGGGGGAGGACCATGCTGTAGAAATGGGCAGATAACACAAGTCACTGCTGCCTTAAAGCTGTGGTGAGGCACAGAACTGCCTCAGGAAAGATGGATGCCCTCAGAGTTGTCAACAGGACAAGATGATCGCCCTCAAGTTACCTCCCAAGCTGGGGGCCCCGATTCAGTGCTTGGGACCCAAAGAGTAGTTTATAATCACAAAGCCCTGAAAGACCCAAGTTGGACTTGCCTTAAGAACATCTTCCTCTGGTATTTCCACCATAGCAAAACCCCTTTATTCAAAGATGGCAGAAATTCGAAGAGCAAGCTTCAAATACAGGCTTTGATTTAATATATATTATTAACAAGCACACCTCATTTTTGGTTCCTAAGCCTTCAAGAGATTTTGTTTGTTTGTTCTGAGACGGTGTATCGCTCTATCGCTCAGACTGGACGGAGTGCAGTGCTGCGATCTCAGCTCACTGCAACCTCTGCCTCTCTGGTTCAAGTTATTCTCCTGCCTCAGCATCCTGAGTAGCTGGGATTAGGTGTGCACCACCACGCTCAGCTACTTTTTGTATTTTTAGTAGAGATGGGGTTTCACCATGTTGGTCAGGCTGGTCTCCAACTTCTCACCTCGTGATCCGCCTGCCTCGGCCTCCAAAAGTTCCGGCATTGAGATTTTTTTTCTTTTCTAAGAGACAAAGTTTTTGAGCGAGGGGCAAAGCGAACCCTGTGGACGGGTGGCAGTTGTCAGGGCCGTCGAGGTGGCAGCGACTCTGCGCTCCAGATGGAGACGGGGCCGCATCCCCGGCCGGGGCACTGCTGCAAGCCTGGCGGGCAGCTGGACATGAACCACGGCTTCGTGCTCCATATCCGATGGAACCAGATCACCCAGGACGGACCACAACAAGAAGGTGAAGCAGGCGGCCAAGGAGAAGGTGAGGAGGTGGCACACGCCCGCGCCGACGCGGCCCCACAAGCCAGACCTGCAGGTGTACCTGCCGCGACACCGAGATGTCTCTGCCCACCCACGCAACCCAGACTACGAAGAATCCGGTGAAAGCAGCAGTAGCGGAGGCTCCGAGCTGGAGCCTTCTAGCCACCAGCTCTTCTGCTTAGAGTACGAGGCAGACAGTGGAGAGGTCACATCAGTTATCATGTATCCGGGCGATGACCCGGGAAGGGTGAGTGAGGAGGTGTCAGCACGCACGCCTCTGGATCCACCCGTGCAAGAAGCCCTCAAGTTGCATATCCAGGAGGAAATTGCAAAGCGCGAGAGCCGACGCTGACCATAGTGAAGGCATTCTCTCCAGGCTGGAGTCACTGCACTCGGAAGAATTCTGCCCAGGGAGCTCATACTTAGTTTGGGGGTATCAGGACCAGTTTGTCTGACCTTGAGATCCCCAGAGGTGCTGCATCCATAGGGTGTTGCAGGACTACACCTGGCCTGCCTTGCAATCTTTCTTTCTTATATGTTGACCCATTTGCCCAGGCTGATATTCTGGAATTTTTTTTTTGAGAGTTTTGTATGGCTAACGTGGTGTTCTAGAAGCAGAGACTCCAGGGAGAACCAGGACTTATGAAGCCTCACACGAACATGGTACCTTCTCAGCAAGGTCATATGCCTGGCTGTGGCTGTTCCACTCAGCTGCATGAGCCATGCTTGTTATTTTATGGTTCTTCTGTGCTTTTGCTCATTTCTACCCATGTATTCATAGACTTTTTTCGGCCCTTTTTCTTTGTTCCTTTCCCTCATCTTTCTGCCTTAGGTAGAATCCATCCGTTCTCCTCCCCCTTCAACATGACTGTGTACCTCCAGCTGCTCAGGACTTTGGAGGTGGGGGGGTTCTGGGGATCTACCCTTCTAACAAACTCTCCAAGTAATTCTCATACCAATAAAGTGGGAGACCTAAAAAAAAAAAAAAAAAAAGGTCGTGCCCTGTTACTTGGGCTGGAGAACAGTGGTGCCATCACAGCTCACTGCAGCCTTTATGGATCTCCTGCGCTTAAGCCATTTTGCCACCTCAGCCTCCTGAGTAGCTGGGATTACAGGCACTTGCCACCATGCCCGGATACTTTTTTGTGTTTTTAGTAGAAACAGGGTTTCGCCGTATTAGCCAGGATGGTCTCAATCTGCTGACCTTGTGATCTATCCACCTCGGCCTCCCCAAGTGCTGGAATTACAGATGTGAGCCACCACGCCTGGCCAATAATATGTTTTAGATTTGAGGAAGGCATAAGATGACCAAATAAATATCCGAGAACATCCAGAAACATGCCTGTCTGGCTCCAAACAGGGCCAGCAGCACTTTTAAGACCGTCCAAAGTGCGGGCACAATATCCTGCCCCCCGCCCCCAGGGTTTACCCAGCCGCACCGTGACCCACCCAGACCTGGGTAGATCAGCATCCAGGCCTGCCGCCAGAGGGAGGCCCCAGGGCCTGGCCTCATGCACACACCCCAGCCTGTGGGTTTGAAACAATGGAGTCTTGAAGCAAGAAGAGTGTGTGACCATGAGGGGAAATGCAGCCCTCCTCTCGCACAGGGACTTTAACAAGCAAACACACACAACGTGGGGCTGGAAACAAAGAGAAACAGATCCAGGAGGTTCCTCAAGAGGAGATGTCATGAGGAGGACCCACCATAGCACAAAAAGCAGAGCACAGAAACACCTGGAGGAACCAAGGAGCTGGCAGGAAGCCGCTCTGATGGACAGGCCTGTGACAAGGAAGCCGTGCAGAGGAAGAACAAAGGGAAATTCATGATAAATTACACCAGGGCAGCCAGCACGGGAGACACAGGGTCCCTTTGAGCCCAGGCCGATCAGAGCTCTTGCGGGCAGATGAGGACAGAGAAGGCCCCATGGCATCTCCCAATCCTCAGCTTTTACCACGCTTCAGTAAGTGCCAGAAGAGGTGACAAGAGACACGGTTTAAAATACCAACTCGAAGGAGAGAAAAACCAGAAGAACACAGCGGGCCATCCTTCCAGCCCACGTGGGAGGGGCCGCCTTCCTGGCTGAGAGTGAGAGCAGCAGCCCAGCCTTGAGCTCCACCTACAAAACCACCTCCATCTACAAAACCACCAGGACCACAGCCGGGGCAGAAAAGGGCTTCCAGATACAGCTGCCACAGGCTGCTGCCTGCACTCCACAGCAAATTCACAGTGCCACGAAGAGGCCTGTCATTCAACAGAAAACTCAGCAAAAAGGCACAAACTAAAAATTCCCAGAAAAGGAATTCAGTGAAACAAAGAAACTCTCAATGGCCCTAAATGAAGAAATGGAGCTGGGCCACTCTGCTCTGATTGGCTGGGCATGACACGGGTGTGGGTGTGCAGCAGTGGTGCTCCTGCTCAACACCGGAGGCCTGGGGAGGACTCGCTGAGGAATTGATTCGGAAATAGGACTGAGAAGCAGTCTCGCTTCCAGAAATCCATTCTGAGAGAAAAAAGAAAACAAAGAGCCCAGGGGCACTCCCAGCAATGTCATCCACACTAAGGACACCAAAGCCCCAGAGTGGCTCGGCAACAGAACACGCCAGCACCTCAGAAAGGCCAGCAAGGGCCCCACGGACATGTGCCACCCATCCCCTAGCCAGCATCACCTGCAAGTAACAATGAAATGGACAACATCCATTCCCCTGTGGCCCGGGGTGTGTGGACAGAGACTGCAGGCGAAGCTCTGCTGGTGGCATCAACAGCAGCGCATGTGCGTTCAGTGGACTGACCTGTCAGCTCCCAACACGAAACAGCTCCTTGCTGTCACCTACTTGGAAGTTTAAGTATTTCTAGGAATCAATTTAATATTTTTTTTTCTGAGATGGAGTCTCCCTCTCTTGCCTAGGCTAGAGTGCGGGATCTCGGCTCACTGCAATTTCTACCTCCCGGGTTCAAGTGATTCTTCTGTCTCAGCCTCTTGAGTAGCTGGGATTACAGGCACCCGCCACTACGCTAGGCTAATTTTTGGCATTTTTAGTAGAGACAGGGTTTCACCACGTTGGCCGGGCTGGAATCACCTTGACTTTTTACTTCAAAAAGACCACTCCTATCCCCCGCCCCCCCAGAGCCCTTTCCTCCCCAGAAGGCTGGATGAGACATCTGAAGACCTGGAGACACACGTAACTACTCGCCATGCATATGGGGCTTTCCGGAGGCGCCTCACTCTCATACACGGCATTTTGGCTCCCTCAAAGCTCCCTCTGCACAGAGGAGGATACAGGGCAATCTACAAAGGGTGACCACAGAAAACCCCCTTCTCTAATGCCAAAGTGGGAGTTCTGGCCACCTCCTCCATCCACCCTCACCCAGAACCCAAAATGAATACCATCAAGGATCCAAGTCCAAGGCCACTAGCAAAGCACCCACCACGCCTAGGAAAGCCCCAGCAGGGCACCAGAGCTCCACCGAGGCTTTTGTAATACCTTGGCAGGGCTCTCCAAGCTCAGCTTCGCCTCTAGTGAGGGGAGGGACCCAGTGGTGATGGCAGACGGGCCCCAGGTTTCCTCTCCAACCTACCAGTCCCATGGCCCCTCACACTCTTAACCTTTGTGGAAGACCCCACAGAGCTTTCAGATCAACTGACATACTGTATACTGCACAGGAAATCAGAACTGGGACACGTTCAAATATTTAATTCATTTAAAAAACACAATAAACCCATTAGTATTAACGTACATAACTTTTAAAGTAACTACTTTCCAAAACAAAAATAACCAACAAGGAGAGCG